ACAGACTGAGCACGTCAAGGGCAGAGGACACTGCGTAAGTCCCTTAGGCAGGAAGAGTATTTGCAGGAGACAGGCTGTCAGGGCAAGAATTATCTGGGGAAAGCAATGATTCCAAATGACAATGATACAGAAACATCTGCACTGGAGGTGTAGCCCTTCTCTTAACAGCAGGGCTGGGGAAAGCACAAGCTCTTCAGATTTTCAGAGAAAGCAATGATTGGGCAGATCTAGGCATGAGCAGAGCCCAGACCTCACAGGGACTAGGGCCATGGAGCGGACAGGCAAAATAGCAACTTGCAAGCAGCTAAACATTGCAGAAGTGGCAACACTTCAAGGGGGCTTCATCCAGGTGCTCTCTGCCAGGCAAGGAAGGTGACAGCCTCATAAAACATAACCAAGAGCTACAACGGTCTTGAAAATTTCATAAAATGGCCAGGTTATTTTGGTTCTATCACTCCAATTCTCAAAACCACAGAGGAAAAGCAGGGAGATATAGAGGCTGAGAGGGTAAAAGAGAGTTGTTGGAGGACAGAAGACACTGACACTGGTAACTACTGCTCTGGTCTGAATGTGCCTCCAAAATTCTTAGGTTGAAACCCCAATGCCCAAGAGCTATTTTACCAAGCCTGTCTCTGTTCGGAAGAACCTTGAGTTGACTTTTGGTAGCAAAACAAAGAGGACAAGGAGACAGTGACCCAAATCTAGGCCACAGCCCAAGTTAGCGATGGCCTCTTGAGTGTGGGGATATTGCAATAGTTCTCTAATTGACAGGTTTTATTCAACCCTGCAAACATGCACATAAGACCTTTCAGTTTAGGAAGAGGGAAATGAGCAGAGAGAGCAAGGATACAGGTTCCTCAAGACAAACATGAGAACACTGAAAGCTCCCCAAAGAGCAAGACCAGGGGCAGGCAGGAGGAAGGACTCTCCCATGGTTATCTCCTAACACATTCAGGAAACGGTTGACAGCACAGGCTCTCTGGATCTCCCTCCATCCCTGGTGCTGAACCTCATGAATTCCTTCCTGTCTCTGCTGCTGACCCTGCTCACCACATCAACAATGACAGTGTGCATTTGCTCAGTGGAAGAGTTTGGGGCACAAATAAGCAATTTCTCCTGCTCACTCTTTAATTCCATCTAAGATCTTTTCTAATGAGATTCTCCCTAGAATTCCCCATGCATATCCTATTCACTTATACCATTCATGTGGCATGTGGACTTAGGTTTGTATAAGAAGTCCTTAGAACAATCAATGGCTAAAGGAAAGACTAAACATAGGTCTCTCAAGGGTTCAATATGCTCTGAATTGAGCTACCATTACTCATGTACACAACTGATCATAGCACTGTAATTATTTATTGGAATGACCATATATTTAACATAAAAGCAATCAATCAATGGCAAAAGAAAAAAAAACCCAGTAAAAGTATTTGAGATTGTGAATGATTCCCCATACCCTTCTCCAGAACAAACCACAATTTAAAATATCTGCAAAAATCACTTCCGGGTGATTTATGTAACAGAAATGGAAACTAAATCTGAATACAAATCAGGAGAATACAAAGGATAGATTACACCATCAATTTCTTTCCCATATACTAAATAAAATTAAAGAAAAATAATTTACTACTCACATTCTCTCATGAGCAGGCAAATATTTGCAGTGCCTAGAAGATTTTGGGGCAATGCTCAAATGGAAGGATGCTACATTAAGCATGATGACATAACAGAGTAAGCACTCTCTGGCTAAAGTGCCTGGCAGATGAATCAATAGAATAGAGGAGCACTGTCAACAAAGGAGGGAGCCCATGACCCTGTATCTCTTCATCATATCACTTTCTGAGTAATGGCACGAAGCAGTAAGTCACCTTGAAATTGATTCCATAGCTCCCTTTTGCTCTAACTATGCTTCTTCCTATATTCTAGATGAGCCTTTGAGACCTTCCCACTCTTATGAATCACAATCAAACTGAAAGTGACACAAATTTTCAGAGAAAACAAAGATCAGGCAGATCTAGGCATGAGCATAGCCCAGCCCTCATTAGTGTGGGCCATGTGTATAGAAGTCTACAATAGATTTACCCTCACTACCACACAATGCTATGGCCCAGCCTTGTGTGTCTTCATTCTCCTCCTTCAGAATGAAAAGCCTCTGAGAGGAGACACTACTCTGTCACGTTCATCTGGTTCAGTCCCCTATACAAGAATGCTCAACATCTCATTGTGTGCCTGGAATACACCAGTGCACCTTTCTGTATACAAAGATGATGTCATCAGCTGTTTATCATTTAAATACCCTGAGTTATATTTCCAATAAGACTGATAAGGACAGACATGGGTATATATCCACCCACAGTCCTCCCCTGTGTACTCCAATTGGTATGCAAGACGCTTAGCTGGAGTACAACTCAATGCCTCCGAATAAAGTAAAGCTAAGTGGCTAAGAAGAGGATCAAATATATGTCCTTGGTCTCATGAAAACTGCATTCTCTCCAACTCTTTTGCCCTCCCCCTGCACACACACGCACACCTAAAGCTAGAAACAAGCACTTGACTTTCGATGAACATTCCCAACCAGAGGGCCAGGTGCTTGTCCAAGAACATCATCACCTGTCCGCTCACCCAGAAGACAGACTTTCTATTACAAACCCACAACCCCAGGAGGCCTTGCTGTCAGGGTGCACAACAGTGTGGACTGGGAAGCCAACTCAACAGTAACAGTCATTCATTTTTCTTTGCTCATGTAGTCTGTAAAACATTTTAAAATTCTGGTTTTCACATATTTTAAGTTGACATTAAACTTTTTCATTATAACTTTAATTGCAAAGGCTGTAACTCTGGATATTGGAATTATTAAGTTTTAATTAAAACATATCACTCTTTCAATGTATCTCATGAAATCTAAATAACATGGCAATTTGAAAGCTGCTTTTATCCACTAGAAAAAAAAGAACAAAATCTTCTTTAACAGTAAAAATGCTTCATTGTTCTCTTTTCTCCTTGAACTCATATTTTCATTCCACTTCCTCCACAAAATTTTCTTACAATATGTTTTAATGCTTCAAAGACATTTATCAATCTCCCTATTATACTTCTCTGCAACAAAGTATGTATAAAGTGATTTTTTAAAGTCCTGCCACCATAAGTTTTAAGTGTTTGATTTTCTTCTAGTTTGAACTATCATTATCAAAACACACAATGAATCCAAAGAATATTAGCAATTATTTGTCAGAATGTTAATATAGTTAATACAAATACAATTTTATTGGAAATTTTCTAAAGAGATGGATAGGGCTTGTTTAATCTATTCCTTCAATTAGTTCATGTATTTACAGATGAGTATTACTCATTTTTATAATAAGGCAGGGCTTAGCATAATTCTATATTTTTTCTTTTTCACTTTTGGATGAAAACAGATGTAAGAAACCTTGTAAGCAGTAAGAGGCTTTGTTTACATGAGTTTATATAAAATGAAGAAGACTTACAAAAATTTTGTCTATCATCTTATAACCAGATTAGGTCCTCCTTCAATTTTGCAGAAAGCCAAGAAGTCAAAACTATAATTTCCAAAAGGATGTGCTCTTATTATCATTGCCTTCACCATCACAGACACTGTTTTTATGTTTTTGTTGAGGTGGGGGGTGGTTGAGATTTTTGCACCCCAGGACAATATACCTCAGTCGATCCAGGATGTTAATATCTGTGCTTGTCTTTCTCAAGTAGGAAAAGTGTGACAGCAAATGACAAGATGGAAAAGGAGATCAGGCAACATCAGTTTTGAAGCAAATCAGATTTAAGAAGAGGAACTGAAAGAGTTCAGAGCAAGAACGTGATCTAAAACTATCCATGCCCGCCTAGCTCTTAGAAAATCTTCTTAGCTGCTGTAGAGGAAATAGCTCTCACCTACTCAAAGGTATCACTGCCAGACATTCTTTGTGCACACTAAAGCACACTCAGATTGATTAACATGCGAGTCCCTTACAATATATATGACTGTAGCTGATATTATAAAAGAAGTAATGGATTTTTTAAAAGGCAGGAATATAATTCTTTTTAATGTACCTAAAAGAGAGAAAATGCCTAGTAAATCATTGTGTCCTGTCAACACAGAAGCCATACTCAACAAAAGACTGTAAGCTTGATATTTTTATAATCTCAAAAAAACACAACCTGGAAACAGTCCAAATGTTTAATAATAGAAAAACTGCTAAATAATTTATATTACAGCCACATAATGGAAGTGTATGTAATAGTTTAATCTGAAGAACATATGTTGGCATTAGAAAACATTCTTCATATGGTAGTAAGTTTTTAAAAAAAGCAAGAAACAAAGGTTGTAAAGAAAATGTCATATTCATTTGCAAAAGTATGTCTGTATGGAAAAGAGACTTATGAAAATCCATTGAACTGTTTTCACTGGTTATTTTAAGGTGGTATTAATTATGGACATCTTTCATGTTCTTCTATTTTTTCCAAATTCTCCATAAAAGGTAGGTAGCTATCTTTCAGTGAAGGGACAATGGTGTAGAGGAAGGTCAAGAAGATGGAGAAACAGGTTTGCCTCTCAACAGTGCTGTATAGTTGGTACCAGCAAGATGGTGCCCAGCCAGGGTTACCTTGAAAACTTAAATCCACCCCATGTGGTGCAGGGTATCGTCCCCTCCCACAGAAGGCGCCATTCCACCTGCTGCGGAAGATGGAGTCCACTGACCAAGCCCTCACATACACTTCGTTCCATCACTTCATAACCAAATCAATCTTTTTACCACTGACTTCCACCGCTGGTTCTTTGAATCACTGATTTTACTCACTCCACAGACAGGTAGAGCTAATGCAGTCAGTTTCCCATTATGCTACCCTCATGAAATACCATATTCATGGATGCAAAAAGCCATCAGATAGCTGGTACAATGCTGAAAACCAACGAAGTCATCTGGCCTTCAAGAGGGTGTGGAGGGCAACATTTACCTCTGCTGTATCACACAGTCTCTGTCTCTTACCTCAGCAAGTGGGGAGGGATTTTGACAATGGTGTCCAGACTGCCCAGGGTTTCTGCAAAAGGAAAATTACAAAGTTACCACTAAATATTTAAAGGCCGAGAGGCTATATTATACATTAATTTCACACTTTTTTCCTGGAAATGCCTAAAATCATAAATTAGTCAATTTCTAATTATCTGCAAGTACATTATCCTTATTTTAAAATCCTTCTCCCTTGATATCCTGAGAGGCTTCCCTGGACTCGCCTCACTATTGGAGAAAGATAGCTTAAAAATGAGGACATATTTCCCTCTAGCAATGAAGAACAGTTAAATTCCTAACCCGAACCAGAATGCCAATTTAATCTACTTATGACTGACCTCTGGATACCACCATCTTGCAATCAAAATAGAGAAACAGAAGTTGTTCCCTTCAAAACACCATTCCAACATCCTTAAACAATAACTCATGCTTGCGAAAGTGAAAGTTCACAAAGCACCTTAGACAGCATCTCATTTTCCTCATGCACATTTACGACATGGTAGATGAACTCCTTTCTAAACCACACTGTAGTTAAGGAAACTGACTGGAAGGCTCACCTCCAAATCTCATTAATCCAACCTGGAGGTTCAGTACTGTGGATTAGTCCCTCTGCTGCCTCTGACTATAGGGACAACAAACACTATTTCCCCCAAAATGTGACCTATTTTAATCACTCCAACTTGTCTCCAGGTGAGCGGCTCAAACTGAGTTTATTCCTTTCATTTCTTAGTGTCAGCAAGCTCTGTTAATTTGAGCGGTTTTCCTTGGGTAGGAGAAACATCTCTTCCCACTTTGCTAAGAGATCAGAGGGAACCAGAGATACACAATGCATCCCTGAGACTCAGGACTGATAGTGAGACAGGATCTGGAACAAAACAGTAGATTTCAGAAAGACAGCTAATCGGCAAAACAGGAAGATGAGCTCAGCAGAGTCCATGATACTGTGGGGACCAGGCCAAGCAAGAAGGTGGAAGAACGGAGGGCAGTGTTGAAAATGTGTTGGTTTAACAAGAAAGGGAACCAGAGAGGCAGGTGCAGGATGCAGCTCAGAGACAGTCAGCACTGCCCAGCAGTTAGACAATGGGCCAGCACCCACGGCAGTTTGCCTAGGAGACAGAAGGACACTGAGTCACCAAATTGGCATGGTGTTCCCATTCCAGAGAGGAGTTTCTGTCCAGCTCAGGGTGTACAGTGCACAGTTTCACAGATGCTAAAGGAACACTAAAAGACAGAAAGGACAGCCACACTGTAGCCACAATGAGTCCATCTGGTCTCACAGGATATGCTGCCCCAGGCACATGGGGATTAGGATGAATCAAGAACTGGCTCCACGTCACTTACCCTCTCCAAGCTTCTGTTCCCTCAAGTGCTGGGGATTGAACCAGGGCCTCAGGCATGCCAGGCAAGCACTCTGCCATTGAGCTATATCCCCAGCCCAGCTCCCTGACCTTCAAAAGGAGACTGACACCATCTGTGTCACAGGAGTCCTATGAAGAGCTAATGGCCTTCAAGAGCCTGAACTTGTCCTTAGACATCAGTGCCAATTGCTGTCTCCCTTCCTTGATTTGCTCACTAAGGATATCACCAGGCACTGGGCTAAGGGCCCAGTGGTGAGAACAGACATGTTCTTAACTTGGGGAGTTCACATCTGAGTTTCAAACTATGAGAAAAGCTGTGAAGGAGACTACAGGGAACTAGATGAGGGTGGAATAGGGGACTCTACTGGGGACTGTGGAGCCAGGCTTCCTTCAGAGAGGGGTGACACTGGACAATGACTGTCTGAAGTAGGTGAGAGGGGGGTGTTCCAAATACAGAGGGAATAATAAACTCAAGATACATCAAGACTCAGCTGGGCATGGTGGTGGCCACCCAGGGTACCTGCACTTGGGAGGCTGAGGTGGAGAATCCCTTGTTGCCAGCCTGGGCAATACAGTCAGACCCCCACCAAGGAAAGGAAAAGGAAGGGAAGGGAAGGGAAGGGAAGGGAAGGGAAGGGAAGGGAAGGGAAGGGAAGGGAAGGGAAGGGAAGGGAAGGGAAGGGAAGGGAAGGGAAGGGAAGGGACAAATTAAATCCATCCAGAAACCCAGCCACCTTCCCTGCCTCCATGCTGCCTCTCTGGATGGGCCGCCATCTTGTCTGCCTGAGATGACCACAGCAGGCTTCTTCCTAAGCTCCCTGCTTCTGGGCCCAACCCCTGCAGCTCCTCCATCTTGTCAGCATGGTAGCCTGAAAGATCCCATCAAGATCCAAGGCAGGGCACTTCTTTCTCTACTCTGATGACTCCATTATTTTAAATAAAAGCCAAACCCTGAGAGAGCTCACCAAGGACCTTGGCCATCTGGCCTCTCATCTCCCACTTTTCTCTCATTTGCCCAACTGGTTCCGGCCAACAGGCCCCTGCTCTTCTTCCTGGGGCCACCAGGAGTTTCTGCACCTCACAGGCTCCCTTCTAGTAAGGCTTTCTGTTTCAATGGCAATTCCCTTTATCTCCCTCCACGCTTTATGTTTTCTTTCAGGTCTGATCACTACCTGAGTTGTCATCTTATTTATCTTGATCACTGGCTGTCATCCCTGCCAGAATCTGTGAACTCCATGAAGCCAGGACAGAATTTCTTTGTCTATTTTGCTAGAATGGCACCTGGCACATAGTAGGTGCACACAAACACTTGCTGAAATAATGAAAGATGATCAGTGTGGCAAGGGCAAGAGTGGTACAGGACAGGCTGTGTGGCAAGCAGGTGTGGGCCGTGCAAGGCCAGGTAGAATATGGTTAGACTCAGTCTGCATCCCACTGGGATGCCATTCTGGGATGTCTTCTCGGGGCACAGCATGATCGGATTCAGGGTTCCAAGGTGGTGCTGCTCGGAGCACGGCATGGAAAGGCCCAGAGTAGAAAGGGAAGGAATAGCTAGGAGGCTGTGCAGAAGTCCAGGCAAGTAGCTTTGCCCGGAAGTGGAAACAGAGGTAGAGAAGTAGACAGGCTGGAGACGTAGTTAGGAGGCAGCAATGAGCAGACCTGGGGTGATGGGCCAGGGATAGAGGCAGGACAGCCCCAGGTTGCGGGTTTGAGGGCTGGCAGGGGATGGTATCAGCTGCCCACCTGGGAATGCCAGCGGTGAGGGTGGGCAAGGTGGGGCGGGGAAGTGCACACTGGCACTGTGACCTTGCTGAGCTCCAGCGCCTCGAGCCTCTCGGGCAGCTATAAGCTGGGCATCGCATCCTCAGAAACTGAGCTGAAACTGTGAGTGCAGATGTGCTTGGCCCCAGTGGAGACAGAGCAGCTGCAGAGCTGGGCAGGGTGACCTTGGAAGGGCATGGTTGCGGGGTCAAGGTGAAGCGGGTGCCCAGCTGGGTTCAGTGTCACTGACAGAGGTGAGGAGCAGGTCAGAATGGGGCAAAGAGTGGAAAGCGAGGGCGTGGGCCAGGCCTTCCAGATACTTCTGAAGATGCCGGTGGATGAGCATGGTGGTGCAGGCCTGTATTCCCAACAGGGTGCGAGGCTGATGCACGAGGATTGCAAGTTTGAGCCTAACTTGGGAGACTTAACAACTTAGAAAGACCTTTTCTCAAAATTAAAGGAAAAAAAAAGAAGAAGGGCTGGGGATGCAGCTCAGTGTGAAGGCCCTTGGTACGATACAAAATTGTAAACGGTCTGCTGAGAAGGTAACAGGGACGTATGGCTGTAGGAAAGTAGGTACAAGGATAGATGACCTTCCTTTTCCTCGCTGTGTTTCTTACCTTGACTTTTGTTTCCCCTCTCCTTTATTTCAATTCCTTATATAGGTATAATACAGTGTGTGTGTGTGTGTGTGTGTGTGTGTGTGTGTGTGTGTGTATATATGATACCGTATACGTAAAATACTAGAAATATTTCTAGGCTGACAGCATGGCTCCTCTGAGGCGGCCCTCTCAGGCAGCCCGCTTCCTCTTGCTCCCTGCTCACAGGCCCCCTGGGTCCTCAGTGCCAAAGGACAGCACTGCTCTCTCCAGCTCCTTTCAAAAGAACCAATCTCCTCATTCTTTTCTACTCCTTGGTCAGACTGTTTCCTCACTGCCCAAAAAGAATCCAGATAGAACCAAATAAAGAGAAATGCGTGCATATTCCTCATTAGTTACCCCGCAACCATTTAAGAACACTGATTGTGAGAGGTCTATGACAATGTAAGAAGAAAATGCTAACATCAAAAATGCATGAAGCCAGATGCGGTAGCGCAGCCTGGAATCCCAGCACTCTGGAGGCTGAGGCAGGAGGACTGCAAGTTTGAGGCCAGCCTGGGCTACATAGTGAGATTGTCTTAAAACAAACAAAACACATGAAAGAAAACCATAGCAAAGAAGAAAATGCTGAAGTTAAAAAACAGATGACAATATACTAACAGCAGTATAGCCCTTTGTAAGAGAGAGATTTAAGCTGTTTACGGTGTTATCTGTGCTGAGATCATAAGCCGTTTTTATTTATTTTTCATACTCTTCAAAAATTTTTCAATATCCTAAAACAAATATACAGAACTTTTAAGAGTAACAAAGATGAATAACATTTGAAAGCCAGATAAGTCACTAATGGGTTTATTTCCTACTGTAGGTGCAGAAGCCACCAAAAAGCATCAGTAACCACGCCTGTACTATGAAGGACACCACTCTTCTGACTGCACTGTGCTGACTGACCAGCACCCCTCTCTGCCTCCTGCAGCAGCACTACACCTTCCCAGCCCTCAGTGGGGCTTGTGGCCTAGGCCTATGCCTGCCAGCTGCTACATTCCTTGACTGAAAGACTGAACCGGGGTACTCACAGGACCCATGAGGACAAGGAGAGAACAGGGGAAGCTAAGGACCAGGCCCGAGTGAATGGAAGAGCTCCTCTCTCTTGAGATGGTCTCAAGAGATGACTCTTCCGGGCTGGGTATTTAGCTCAGTGGTTCTGTCGCCTGCCTCGAAAGTGCAAGGTCCCGAGTTCAATTCCCAGTACCAAAATAAATAAATAAATAAATAACATTAAAAAAAAAAAGAGATGACTCCTCTCCCAAGGTGGTCTAAATTGGAAATGACCCTCTCTCTTGAGATGGTCTAAGTATGAGATGACTTCTTTTCCCATGATGACCTAAGTGGGACACTTCTCCAAGGATATCTAACTGTGGAGAAGATTCCCTTCCCATGATGGCCGACACAGGCAATGACCCCCCTTTCCCCATGATGCCCATGTGGGAGGTGACTCCTTTCTCCCATGATGCTCTAAATGGGGGATGAGCTTGCTCTCCCATTGCAGGCTAAGCAGGAGATGACCACAGCCTTCCACAATGGTCTGGGTGCATGATGCCCTCTTTGTCCTTTCTCAGGAGATGGTCTAAATCTGGTGAGTCATAGGCCCAGCACTGTGATGAGCCACGCAGAGCATCCACAAAGAGTATGATGAGGTCCTGGGAACTGTGTGCAAGTTCTGAATCAAACTGAACCCACGGACCCTAAGGGATATTTTAATAGGTGAGACAAAAGTTGCATTTTGCCTAAGTCAGCTTTAACTAGTTTATTTGATCTCTTGCACCCAACATATGTCTCAATTACCCTTCCCTGAGAGAACATGCAATGCTACAATCCGAAGTCGTGTGGGGTTTTAAGAGAATCATGAGGGGAGAACTTAGAAGGGAGCAACTGGCTCTACTTCCCAACTGAGCTGCTCACTGAGAAGTCCAGAAAGCAAACTCCTGGCAGGAGGCAGACTGGGAAGAATGCCTCCATAGCATGCTCAAGAAAGTGCTGCACCTCATGGAGCTCCTGAGCTCTTGGTAGGGCACAGGGAGCGGGCAGGGCTGGATTCTAAAGTGCGTTCTAAGGCAGTCACACCTCCATCTCCAAAGAAGTTGTGGGGGTTGAGGACCAACGAGTGTTTTATAGTAAAAACAATGATGGGGTAGTGGGACATGAACTGGTGTGGGAAAGACACCAGGGACCCTCTCCCACACCCTTGTTTCTGCACATTCTCCACCAGCAGCCCCTTCCAACAAACTCCTTCCAGCAAGCTCTGTGCTTATCCTACTGTCTCCCTGCTCTGTGCAGGGGAGGCCTCAGGAAACCTTTACTGAAAAACACAAACAAACAAACCCAGCCAAAGAAAAAAGAACCCACAGCTTCCCCACTCTTCAAGTGAAATCTACTTCAAAGCCCACCCGCTGGCATTAATTCCCTCTCAAGACCCATGCTCCCCTCCATTCCCGTTCTTTGACCTGTTTTTCTGGTTTGGTCAAAGTGACACACATGCATATAGATGCCCACACTATTATTTAACCCCTTCCTGCACCTAGGGAGTTAGGTGCACTTGCTCGTGCACTTGTCTCTTCTTTCACTGATCACAGCATGATCACTGGGAAAGGAGTCTCATCTACTCTTCCACTCAGCCTGGATTCCAGACTTGACCCAGAAAATCTACCTGCTCCCAGCTTGGGGCTCCCTCTGCAGCTTCTAAGGCCTAAACTTAACAATACCATAGTTCAACCCAATGAGATGCTGCTTATCCAATTTCAATTTTATTAAAAATACTGTATTAGCCTCCTCCTCTTTGTTTATCTAAATCTGCTTAATTTACAGCAGAATAATCATGAATCCTGGGAATCATATGTTCAGGCCACAGTCGGCCCTGCTTTATTATGTTACCCGGCCATCTGTGACCCTTCATTAGAGGCATTTGGGAATCCAGCTCTGAATCACTGCTGGATGACAACGGCACTGAGAAACCAGTGCTCTGGCTTTAAGAGCCTTGCCACTCTCAGACACACAGTGTGTTTTTATTGAACAGCAAACTAAAACAGTCAAGTGCTAGTTCTATCCATCAGATAAACTTTCTAGACAATCGTGTAGGCAATTTTGTGAGGATATGGACAGATTAAACCCAAAAAATGATGCTGCTATGACAGTCCACACACGCAAACATATGGGAACTCAGACCTTCTAAATATTCAGTGACCTAAAACACTATCTGAATTCTACATTTAGCAGAAAGCCAGCTATGGCACTTCTGTCCCTTCTGAGGCTGAGTCACACGGCACAGTGTCAAGACAAGCACAGGCTACCGTTTTTGTATTTTGAGGGAAAGGGATTCTATTTTCAGTTGAGTGGCACACGGGCTGGGAGAGGGCAAGAGCCCACAGAGCTGCCCTGGCTTCTTCTCAGCCTTCTCTTTTCCAAAGGCATCGCTGGCCATCTCCATCCTGACCACTCTGAGCGTCCAGACCCTCCCCTGACTGACACATCGTTCCATCTTCTGTGCTGTGAGCGCTGCAACCTGGGTCTAATGGGAAACACCGATTTGCCACCTGGAACTTACTGCAGCGCTAGCACGGCTCACACATCTAAAACCCCACCTGCGTGAAGGGCGAGCACCACGGAATGGCAGAGGCAACACAATCCCACCCATGTGTTATTTTCCAAGCACAATAACCATGAACGCTAACACTTAGCAAGCTGGTCTCCCTCAGGAAAAACATCAAATTAATAAGCCCTTCCTTCCTGGTTCTTCTCGCCAGTGTTTGAGGTCGGGGCTGTCGGTTTAACTTCCCTCTGCCCACGGGCGCCTCGGAATCGGGGTCCTGACTCCGGGACCGGGTGGTGGCACCCGGAATGGGGCCCGCCGGGCGGGAAGGACAGCGCTCCCCGTTAAGGTTGGGGAGAAGCGAAGGACCCGAGGGAGGCATGGATGCCCTCGCCAGAGCCAAGATTCTCGGATCCACCTCCCCGCACCGAGGAACTCTGGCACTTGCGCGCCGCACAGGTCACCGGCGCCGAGCGCGAGCCCCGCGCCAGGGCCGCCCGCCCGCAGGTGTCCCCGTCCCGCGCGCCTACCCAGGGCCCAGGTGCAGCTCTCCTTGATGGCTTTGTACTTGCTCCCGGACGCTTCCTTCTGCAGCTTCCTCAGGATCTCTTCCATCTTGACCTTCCAGGGGCAGTGCCGGGGACGCCGCCAACGCCGCTGCCTGGCCCCGGGAGCCTAGGCCGCTTCACTCGCCCCCATCTCGTTCGGGCGCCGCGGCTGCTGCATCACGGCCGCCCCGCGCCGCGGGCCACGTCAGCGCCCCGCCCCGCCCCGCCCCGCCCGCCGCCCAGTCAGGTGCGCTCCCGCGGCCCGGAGGCTGCAGGGAGGCCCCGGGGACCGGAGCTCCGCGAACGGCGGAGACGACGGCGGGCCCGCGCTCGGCCGGGAAGGGGCCCTGCCGCTGTCCCCCACTACCTGCGCGACGGCTGCCGCGGGCGCGCTCGCACCGGGGGTGGCCCCGCCGATCCGGAAAGCTCGCTCGCGCGTTCTCTAATAGGTGCACAACCCCCGGGTCCGGCTCGGGCCGGGCACGCGCCCCAGCGGCGACTCCAGTGCGTCCTTGCTTGCAGAGAGCTGCCAGTCGCCCGGCATTCAGCCCTCGCGTGGGGACCGAGTTCGGTGCCCTCAGTGTACCCAAGGAAACCAGGCCCAAAGAGCTGCGTGACTTCCCCACCGAGACGAGTTGTTCCCCAAACATGCCCGGACTCCAAAGCCCCTTTAAACATCTCTTTGCTCCCCTTCGCCACCCCTCTGGTGCTGAATTGTGTCCCTCGGACAAAACGGGGCACACAGGTGCGCTGGGGCCAGGGCCGGAAGAGGAGCTCCTGAGCTGCACCTGGGCCATGTGAGCTGGACCGCAGGCCGTGGGCACCTGTGTCCAGTCCTGTCCTGGAGGAGCGAGGCCTAGGCCTGGTGTTGGAGCTGGTGCTGTTACGAAAGCTGAGACTGGCATTTTAAAGCCATTTCACTTAAAATTCAGAATGGGGTTAAGAAGCCCATTGAGAAGGGACTTTAAGCCGTGTGTGTTGAAATAGGGTCTCACTGTGTAGCCCAGACTGACCTCTAATTTCGACCCTCCTGCTTTAACCCCTTGAGCACCGGGATTACAAGCACCTGGGCACCTGAGTTTTCTTTGTAAGTGCAGAGATCGTGAGGAAAGTGGGCCGCAGCTGAGACAACAGGAAGGAAGTCAGGCCTTTGAGAGGTGGGGAGGGAATGGAAGACAAAGTAGCAAATAGTGAGGGAGTAGAAGCAGGACGAGTGGAGGACTGAATGGGGGAGGGTGGAGGGCATGTGGGATGACTTTTGGGTCGCTTGTCCAGGAAACTGGAGGACAGTGACCTCATTTGTAAGCTATAGGAGAACAATGTATGATCTCAGCTCTGAACGTGGTGAGACTGGTATGATAAAACAGGTAGCATGCTTTACTGTGGGCCGGAACTCAGGCTGAGGGTCTGTGGTGGAAATGAGGCTTTGAAGACCATTAAGTACGGAGAGTTGTTGATGCCTAGGGTTTGGTTGCTGCAAGATGCCAGGGAGGTTGTTGGGGGACCCCTAACTCTCAGGTGACAGTCAGGAGACCAAGTGTCCCTGAGAAGGAACAGCCAGGAAAAGGAGCCTCATAGGAAGGTGCCCGAGGGTGGCACGAAGTGGGCTGCTCCTTAAGCCCTCTTGGTACCAAGGAGGCAACACTTACAAGTCCCAGTTCCCAAGGAGCCTTTTAGCCATCAGCCACATACTGAAATGAAGCCATTGCTGCAAGGAAAGCTCCCAGTGATAAGAAAAAGTCTAAAGCACTAGAGCAGATTTACATATTGGAGTGCTAGGGACCAAAGCTAGGTAGGCAAGCACTTATGCACCGAATTGCCCACCTAGCCTGATAATGTACTTACGTTAGACCATGTTGTTAATTATTTGCTGATGGGAAGGGGACCAGGAGATGGGGGTGAAGGGAAGAATTAAGATGTGTTATGGACTAACAAAAATAAAGTTTAAAACATCAAGGGCCTTTAGTACCTAGTACACAGGCTTTAAGTATTAGTCACTGTTCCCCCAAAAACCCCTCTTTTTGGAAAAATATCCTTCACAACTATACCATGCATGAAAAAAATAAATTACAAATGTATTAGAGGGTTATATTTTTAAAAGAGGGAGAGTTAAGAATTAAACCATAAAAAGGTTACAAGGAAATAGTAAATGAACATACTTAGGGTGGGAAGATTTCTACCAAACCAGTTAAGCCAGAAACTGGGGTGGAGGGGGGAAGCTTTGACTATTTGAATTTTTAAAATCTTTAAGTCAAAAAGTTCCACATAAAATTAAGAAGCAGGCAATATTCTGAGACGTGAATTAAAGGAAAAAAGAGAGGAACTCTAACTTTTAACTGCTTTATTGGGAAAATTTACAATTTATTGGGAAAATGTTTGTAATAACATCAGAGATAAAATGTTTGGATGCTTTTTTAGAAAAGCTTTTCCAAAGTCTTTTAACAAAAACACATGCATGCTCTAAAAATAAAAATAGGAATGAATATGAAGTCAGGTCACGGAAGAAGAAATATACACATGCAGAACTGTGTAAGCACCTGCTAATCAACAGAACACTGACCTTTCAGTGAGACGTCAGGCATTTTTATTAATCACATTGACTAAGACTTTAAGTGCTATTGCCCAGCGTTATAGGGGGCTGGCAACAGGGTCTCTGCTGTCCTGGGTGTTGGTGGGAGTGTAGCTTGGTACCACAGTCCAGGAGGAAATATGGATGCGTGTGCAACACAGACACTGCTCCGGCCCCACTGTCCCCCTGTGGGAATTCATCCTGAAGAAAGAATTATGCAAACGAATAAAGATTTTCTCTACAAGGACTTCAATGTGTCTTTCTATAATAGAAAAAAATCATGAAAAATATCCCGCATGTCCAACAACATCAGGGGAATGGGGAGAGAACTTGAGGCCTATACGGCAGCTTCCTGCATAGCCTTTCAGATAACATGGAGCAGGTACATTGAGTGGCTCCTACATGTATGAGGAGAACATTCTAAAATGCTGTGAACTGCTGAGCACCAAATGATTCCAGTTTTACTATTTAAATATTTGATCTACTTACACTATAAGATATATATACATATATATATTCGGTGAATGCACCTGAAATATTAACAGGGATGCTACTGATGAGACTGTAGCTAAGTCTGTTTTTCTTTTCTTTTCTTTTTGGTACCAGGGATCGAACTTGGGACCTTACACTTGTGAGGCAGGCAGCGGAACCACTGAGCTAAATCCCCAGCCCTACTAAGTCTGTTTTTCATTAAGCATTTTTACTTCTATAATCACAGGAGGGCTAATTTTTAAAGACAGTGCAAAATGGAACCAAAGGCAGCAACATCAGCAGCTTCGGAAAGGAGAAGGGTAGGAAAAGTGCAGGAAAGGACATAATAGACAGCAGAGAAGCATTAAGGAGCCTGGGGAGCCTTGCGTGAGAATGATTCAGCAGAGCCCGGCTGCACTGGACTAAGAGTAGGCAGAATCCTGTGCATCAACACCCCACTCATGAAGGGAAGAAAAGAAACAGGCACCTTTTTACTGTTTTTCTGCAACTCACGATAGGAAATATGCATTGCTATATAGTATACATGTACATACATGTACAGGTAGTTTAAAGAACCAAAATAAAAGTTTTATGTATAAAACAATACTCCCTGTTAAGTAGAATAGTTAAATATGATCTTATTCGTTGCAGAAGCCACATCTACCTGTTCCTAAATTAATTCCAGGCTGAAGGCACGAAGACAATACTACATACATGACCATGATAGTTCGTACATTAATGCTTATTTCTGTCCACATTTTTAGTTTAGTTGATTAAAAATTCTGGCTTACACAAGTTGCTGGTGATGCTATTAATAACAATAAATTCTGTTTAGCAGTGGGAATTCTTCTTTAATCTTAGTTCAAAATGGCGGCAAATTTATAATCACCCTTCAATGTATCCTAATAAAGTGTTAGGTGTTAGCTTTCTTCTTTAGACGTCAACTTTAACTCAAATATGGATTCAAGATTTTGAAAAACAAATACATCTTTAATCAAAGTGCTTTTCCTTAATATTTCAAATTCTTTTTTTCTGAAAATGATTTGTTTAAAATAGAGACTTGTAATATAATTAATATCTTTAATTTTATTCCATTCAATATTGACAAAGTTCTCTTCATGTGTTGCAAAATGTTGGGGATACTTAGTAACCTTGATGATTATCTAAAATATATTTTGTAACTTGCATATATTAAATATCTTAATATATACATTACTTTCCTCTGTAAATACAAATGTGGTTCATTAATGATGTCAAAAATAAGTTTTAAATACCAATTGTTTGCTAAAATACGATCTTCCAAATAAGACTGCTTTTCAAGCAGAAAAATGAGGACCCCATTCTGGAGTTCATATAACTTAATTAGCACTTTCCCTACAGTAATCAGTTATCTTTACTATGATACAGTGGAGACATGTTCATTGTATGACAAATGTTACTAACAAAGACCCAGCAGCAGGGCGATTTACACTCCATTCTCACTTGAATTAAGTCCTGAGTCAGTGGTGCAGTTTGGCGCAACAGTCTCGGGAGATTATTAAGGGCCCATGCACCTTAAATGTTACTTCTCTACGGTTCCCTAGACAATTGTTCTCATCTGTGTGCCCCAAAGAGGGGTCGTAGCCATGCTGAATTGTAGATTATAAGAAAAGAGTGTAAAGGGGTCCAGGTTTCAGAGGTGTAAGTTACATACATCTCCCTTCCCTTCGTCCACTGGAGGAGAACATGCCTACGTGTGGCCTAGGCTAACTGGGCCTCCTGGGATCCGTCCACAGCTGTTTTCATAGCATAGGGAGGAGGATTTGGCCAACAACCACTAATCTCAGCCACAGCTTAATTTTAGAACTAAATGTATGGAAAAGAAAAAAAATCTCCATAATAAAATAAAATAACTGTTATTATTCTTATGTTCAAGTTCAAGAGATTTAATAGAACTCTTAGGATGCCAAAATCTTTACAATGTGTGAAATACAGATCCCAAATAGTAATGTCAGTATAATTTCTAACGATATTCTTATGTTATGCTATGTTTTGTGGTTATGTTTACTTCAGTTCTGAAGCAATTCTGTTGTAATTTTTCAGCTGAATTTGTTTTCAAAATAATGTGTTTTTAAATTCTATCAAAGTTGCTTAACCAATTACGTGTTAGATTAA